GACAGCACAGTTTGAAAACCAACCTGCAGGGAGATGAAACGTTACACAAGATCACACAAGCTTTAGTTGCCTTAATAGCTTTGTCACTGAAAAAGTGTTTGTAAAGCTGATAAGTTTGTTTTGTATATTATGACAGAAAATATAAATTGGAACTTGCCGAAACATTGCAATGCAGCATACATGTTTTATTTTTATGTACATTTTCATTTCTCAAATGTTTTGAATATATTCAGAACATATACAAAAATTATCTAGAAAAATAGGGCTGGGCGATATGTCCAAAAATTATATCAACGTAAATAAAAGATTTCATAACAGACCATATCAATAGTTTCAGGATAAATGTCAAATTATTATTTCTTTTAAGTTTAAAGACAGATTTTTGCTCCTGAGTGAGGTTTGTGGTTTTAAACTTCTTTATGAGCTGAGAATGACAAACGCTAATGTGCTATCACTCATCACCTTGCTTGGACAATGAATAAGCATTACATTGATATTAGACTTTTGTAATATTGCTATTGATGAAAATGATATTGCAATAATTATTGATGTCGTTTTATTGCCCATCTCTTTTGCCAAATGTCATGTCATATCAAAATTGCTTGTCATTAGTGAGCCCTCCTCAAACAGTTCGACAATAGACTGTCACTCTGTGCTGGATGTTATCTGCAGAGTTTTTATAAACAGTCTATGGTGAAGAGTGAAGTTAAAAAATTTTGTGTTCATCCTATCTGGTTTATCTGTAAAGGTTTTATAGTCAATGTTATTTATAGAATAAAACTGAATTGGCTTTATGACTAGTCTCGTGGGTAGTTTATATACTGTATAAGTTTGAATGATTTACTTAAAGGTACAGTGTGTAGAATTCAGTGACATCTAGTGGTGAAGTTTCATGTTGCAGCTGAATACCCCCTCACCTCACCCTCCCCTTCCAAACATGAAAGAGAACCTGTGGTAGCCTTCAGTTGTCATAAAAACTCAAAAGGTTTAGTTTGTCCAGTCTGGGCTACTGTAAAGAACATGGCGGGCTCCATAGAGAGGCCCTGCACCTGATGTAAATATAAAGTAAATATAAAGGGTCCATTTTGGGGTAAACAATAATTCCTACAGTTTAGATAGAACACACTGGTAAAAATATCACAAGGATTATTTTATATTACATTTCTGCCAATAGATCCCTTTCACCTAAATTTTACACACTGGACTTTTAACTGCTGTTATTTTTCATACATACATACAATTTTTGGAACATAATTGCATATATATCATTCAAATAACCAGTCTGGTTGAATTATAGTGGATAATATAAAAGTGTGGCAGTTTTAGATGAGGCAATAATAATAATACGAGAAATTAATCTGCACACACTTCACATCAAAAACACATGGAGGCAGCTTCTGCACAGGTAGATACACACTGTTTATTAAAGGCTAACCCTCTGAAACGGACAGAATGTGAACTAACAGCATCCTTGGAGAGGCTGACAAGTGCTACATTCCTAACATCCTGTTACCAAGAGTACCCTGCCACCAAACTGCCACTGGGTCACTGGAGTTATGCACACACAATCACAAATTCACACACTCACACATACAAACACACAGATATAAAAGTCAAAGGAAACACTATAAGAACACATGGAAGCTGCACACTGAAACACCAATCCGGGCATATGGGATTGTCACCTTCCTGCCTGACATTCCTGCTTCAGAGTGGGCTGCAGTTAGAAGGGCACTATGGATGGCAGCAGACAGAGGGAGAACGAGATGCAGAGGGTGGACGGAGGGCAGAATCACAAATTTGGCATGTCACATGGTCAAACAGGGAAGATTTATGACTGATCGGGTTCCACATCGGCAGCATGGTGTTGTGGCTTCAGAATGCCAGGTATGGGAGTGAGATCAGACTCCGGCTTTAGTTTGTACACCCTTTCTGGCAACTGTACCCGGTGTGACTGGCTGAAGATGGCAGTGTTATTGGTGGCTAGCGTGAGCAACGTGGTCTTTAGACTTCTGATATTTTGCATCTTCCCGGTCATATAGATTTACTCGCCCTTTGAAAATGCAGACGTAACAAAATAGGTGGGAACACCTGCAGAGAGGGAGAAACCTGACACAGAGCTGGAGCGGAAGCCAGAGGTCGAGAGGCAAAGTGAAATGAGTCAAAGCAATAAAAGAGAAATGGAGATATAGCATGGAGAATGGTGATGGTGTTAAGAAAAATACAGATCCTCTTTTATTTCCTCTCATTTCATTTCTCCCTGTATATAGTCAGGAGCTATGATTTACTCTCCGGTGACATCATGGAGACCACAGCTATTTTTATTGGATGGTAAATGGCCAGCTCTTCTCCGTGCTATGCCACCTGTCCAATCCGCAGCAGTCAACAAGCCCCAGGGAGGAAAAAAAATCAAGCACCCAAAAAATGATTGAGAGTTGAAAGGCAGAATATGATACACGCATGCCGTGCTACTGTCCTGGGCATGTTTCACAAGTCAAACGTCTTGTCCTGCTACTGGTTTGCTCCCCTCATTTGCCTTGAAGCAGTCACACACATTGCCATCTGCTGCCATTTCTTTTCTCCACAGCTTATTTTTCTGTAATTTTGCATGTGAATTTTAGATTTTCTTCTGAGTTGGAGGGAAATCTCGAGGTCTATTTTGATGTGTGTGTGTGTGTGTGTGAAGGGTGGGGTTATTCCTGGCCCTGTGTCGTGTGCTCTAAGGTGCAATTCAGTCACATGCCATCTGAGCAACCCTTTAGCCCTGAAAAATGATAAGTACAGTAGCTTGGGGGGCAGGGGTCATGTAACCCCATGCGGAGCCCTGCATGATGTCAACTGGTAATAAACTGATACTTACAGGAAAGAATAACTCGGAATAATAAGGGGTGTTTGAGAGGATGCAGCTGATTAAACTACAATGACATATGTGAAAGTTTTAAACATTGATAGATAAGTTATCAAAAGGTTACTAAGGGGAACCAGCATTGTTATCTGCTTACAGAAAAGCATTAACCACTGTATGTACTGTGTTTACACTGCATATACTTTTTCTATTTACCTGCATTTTTTATGCATGTTTACTAGGACTGGGACAAAATATAGATATGGCAATATATGGTCGTCCTGACTCACGAGATACAAGTATTGATATGCTGGTGCCAAATAGATATTTACTTATTTAGTTTGATATATAAAGAGTTTGGACTTTTGCCGCATTGGAATGATGGCACATGTGGACAAGTTCCTGTGTGTTTGCTAAAGACTTAACCAAAATAATGCACTTTGTTGGTGCATTTTTTCATCTCAGTTGGAAACTGACACCAGAGGCCTTTTGTTTTCTTCTTCACTCAGACAGATATTGTGATATATCTTAACAATTGTCTCTCAGTATTTAGATTTTTGCAGAATCACTGTTTCGTGTTATTGTAATCATGGGGTATGTATTGTTTATCATATTGTATCGTGAGTTATTTTATGTTTACTTGTTAATTACTTTTACTGATTCTGACTGTCCTGTTTGCTGCTGCATCACAGCAAATATCTCCATTGTGAGACTAATACAGGATCTGCACTGATACAATCTCTTTCATCTGTATGTGAAGATACTTTAGTGCGATTCACAGGCTGTGAAACAGAAAGTCTATAGTCCTGGATTGAGATGAGTAGTGATTACACACCAAACAGAAGCTTCACTGCTCATGACCTCACAGCATCACATCACAACTTCATCACAGTGTCGAGGAGTCCACCTTGTGGCAGGGGCAGGAATTTTTTACTTTTTTCAAATCATCCCTGAATACAGTGAATGCTGTTGTTTTTTTCCTCAATTATTGTATTACTATCCATGATAGATGTGCTTTTACAGAACAAGATATAAGACTTCATTTATTAATGGCGGACATTTATGTCGCCCAGCAGTGACTAAAGTGAACAAATTCAACCCCACCATGACCAACTACACTTTAATGTTATGGGTACATTGATACCAAAATTATTATAATCCACTAATCTGAAATTGACCATTAATCAGTGCTTACTTATCTTTTTACTTTACTGATGCAAATACTTAATTACTTAAGTAACATCTTTAAACAATTATTTTACTTACTTGTACTAGAAAATATTTCTTCACTGTGGCATCACAACTTTAAGGTAAAGGTTCTGAGTATCCTTCCACCCGTCAAGACAGAAAATGATTACAATCACAAACACTTGACTCTTTGTAAACAGCATTTCTGAATTAAATTGAGAACAATATTCTTCATTCAAAGAAAACCTCAAATCCATAATGAACAAATGTAACTTCAGTGTGCTGCAAAGAGGCCATTCATATTTAAAAAGGACACACACAATAAAAAAAAAATCATACAACCTATAATTGCTTACAGTCTATTCAGACTCTTGTGGCTAGTGCCTTTAAAGTTAAGTGATGTCCCCGTGCCCCCTCTCATCATGGAGAACATAACATGGTGGTGAACTAGTCTTTTTATTAATATAGACTTGTAAATGTGGAAATTTATGAAGCTGATTTAAAAAAAATTATGAAAAACTCAGGCAACTAGCAATACAAGACAATTGAAGGAAGGAAAGTGGAGCCTGTTTTTGTATCTCCTATGAATTCCACAGTGATCCCCACAAATTTGTATTGTGACACCTGCTTGGGTCCCAACCTCCAGGTTGAGAATCTTATGAGGGCCTTTTTAAATCAAAGTGCATGATAAATATTGTTCTTGTTCAATATTGAAAAGTGCTATACAAAACTAAATTATTAATATTAATATTATTATTATTCCTCACCCCTCTTTCACACTTTGTAGTTTCACTTGTTGACAGTTACAGCCTTAGCACTCAGCTTTGACTCTAGAAAACAAGTCAAAAATGAATAGAAAACGTGTAGTATCATATCATCAATAAAAATCATAATGATCATAATAAATATGCTGCTGTGGGTCCATGTTGTGAGTTGACTGAGTGGATGCTGTGACTGGCTCCTCCGCGCCACTAGGGGGCGCGCCTCCGCCGTGAATAAATGCCATCGTGGGTAGACGAGGCCGCCCAGCCATGTTGAGGAGTGTGTCAAGCAAACTGCAGCCCGCCATTGTGTAGACACCAGGCTCTGTGCAGAGAGAGGGGCGCTTGGCTGAAACTCTACAATAGCGACACCATTTCTACTCCCTGCCGCTTAACTTCGGAGTAAAAAGAGTTATACAGGCGCCGGGGGGGAAAGACATGTCCGCCAGCAGCCTTCTCCAGCAGGTAAAGAGAGGTGTTTTCTGAACATTGACGAGGGCCACATCTCTCAGCATCGCGGCGGCTAGCGGGGGATAGCTTAGCTCAGAGGCCTGACCACCTGCTAAAGGAACCGACTGCTGGGAATACATCGCTTCATCCATTTTTTTCCCCTTCCTCTCTTCTCATAAATCAAACCTTCATGAATCACCTGGACCCAATCCAGAGACCGAAAGGCCAAGCGAATAAAGGTAAGAGCAGCGTTAGTGTGACACGATCGACTGGAGGCGGAGTGAATGCGGATCTTTTTACGTTGCGGTGCGCTCTCGAAAAATCTTGCGTGCGCGGATGCGATAGCGCTCAGTCTCTCGGCGACTTGACGAACGGGCCCGTGTGTGTGTGTGTGTGCGTGCGCGTGTGAGTTGTTTCAGTGAAACACAAAATGAAAAAGTGTCCGTCCTCTGCCTTTCACTCGCTGCTCCTGAGTTTCCTTTACATCCCTGAAATGTCATTTGTGAGCTCTCCGCTGTTAGCATTAGCTACCTCTTTGCTAGCTAACAACGTTAAATGGCAACATGACTCACATCGACACTATGTTCCTGGTTGTACTCGCTGCACTCTTCGTGGCGCAGACACGTGTGAGGACCCACACTTTAAAATACCAGTCAGTGTAATGCATGTCCCCGGTGTTGGGCTACAGGTGCCGTCCTAGCACGCTACCCGCTCGGCTAACGTTAGCCAGGTCCGTCATGTTGAAAGGGCTGTTGGCGCTCGTTAACATGGAGACGCTGCGCACTGCGTGAAGCTAACCGCACAGCTAGCGTGCTAACGTTAGCTGGCTGCTAAGTTCACCCAAAATGACACGTCTTCCGACATGCTTTTCCTGTGTCCAAACGGGCCTCACACTCCCCAAGCACCACGCTGTCCAGACTCCACTGCCCGATCATACAATTCACCAGCCTGTGTACTTCAGTCTCACTCCTCCACCTCCTCAAACAATCTCATGTCATCACACAAGTTGTGAAAACAAACCGAGGACCACTGCCCCGTCTGAGTTAAACATGCATTCACCTGCTCCCTGTCCATCTGTAACACAGTGACCTATATTACATTTTAATTTAAATTGTTTCGTGTGTCTGCAAGGCTTCAGTTTGATTTGACATAGTTTAAAACCGCCAGGTGCGTTTAAGTCTTCCCTGTTTCATCATTGCTCAAGTGTACGCTGTGTAATCTGAAGCTTATTGAGCAGTAATAATGTGTCATGCTCTGCTTAGTGTCTGTTCCTGAGAGACTCATGAATAATTGCAGAGTGTTTTTTGTTATGCAACAAGCAGTGATGATGCTGATATGATAGATACTTTGTTCACCCCCAATGGAAAGTGAATGATGTGATCATGTAATGTATTTGAATGTGTGGCCTCTCACACAAACATGTTTTGTTAACAGTGTTTGTTTTTGTTTTCAGTGCAAAACGGAGCTGTGACACAAAAGGATACTTTGAATGACGATGAGTTTGAGCCTTACCTGAATACTCAGGCCAGACAGGTAAGCTTGTACTTGTAAGTTTTTGCTCTCAGGTGCTGCTCTGTTAACAATGACTGAAGAACCCTCAAGTTATGATTTATTTTTGTTGATTTTGTGGTTAATCCTTCATCTTTTAATTAATGTGTGACCAATGAGTGTGGTGCTGTTGGAGGATAGAATCTGCAGGTTTAACCTGAATTTTAGGAGATGACTTTCCATGTGAAGAGGATGAGATTCTGTGTATAGATATAATTTAATATTACAATTTTAAAAATATTAATTTAGAAAATAAGTAATGAACCTAGTCCACAATGATGATGGTCAAATAGCTCAGGGCATTTATAAATACCTTGATTGATCCTGATGCCTGAATTTGCCGTTTGACTCAGAACATCAATAATATTGACTCTTAACACTCAACCTTAGATGAACAATGTTTTTGAGGATACTATTATATTGAGTAATGGGATTATCTAGGCTTTATGGTAACTGAATATGGTGTGCATGCATTTATTCACCATTTGGACATCCCTGACATAACATTAATGTGTCTGAAACAGTCTGTGCAATACCAAGCCCACATAGATTTGTCATTTTGTCTCAGAAGCTCTCTTCCCCCCCCCGATTTTTAACATAAGCATTAAAAGATGGAAAACATCATGGACGAGTTTTATTTCACTTTTCACTGACAACTAGACATGTTTTGCACCATAATTTACACACTAAACAAATTCAGTTGCCATGAGGTCTTGTTCTGTTTGTGTGTGCTCATCCTTGTTTGCATGAAACAGGAATACAAGAAGACAGCTGTTTTAGGAGCGTTTGTTTTTCTAATCTGTAGTAATGGAGACACTGTGAAGAGGGCTGTAGAGGAAAAGAATGGAGCCTGTTTTTTCCTCCACTCAAAAGAATGTACCATCCTTTTGTCCAAGAGACTATAAATAAGCACAAAGTAGTTAAGTGTCATGAATTTATAGATAGGATGAGAAAAGAGGAGGGAAATCTGGTATTTTTATAGACCTCTATGATTTGGTGTATCTTTGATACATAATAAAATGATAGTCATAAAATAACTTGTTCTGACTTTTTGAAGAACAAGGTTTACTTGTCAAACAATTGCTTTTATTAAGTTATTGGTAATGGATTTTGGTTTTTGCATTAAACTTTATTTTTCCTGTCACTAAAACTTGGATCTTTTTCTATTTAGAGCAATGCCTATACGGCCATGTCGGACTCGTACATGCCCAGCTACTACAGCCCCTCCATAGGATTTTCCTACTCTCTAAACGAGGCAGCATGGTCCACAGGTGGGGACCCTCCTATGCCTTACCTGGCCTCCTATGGACAGTTGAGCAATGGGGAGCCCCACTACCTCCCGGACGCTATGTTTGGCCAGCCAGGCCCCCTGGGGAGCAACCCTTTCCTTGGTCAGCACGGTTTCAACTTCTTCCCCAGTGGGATCGACTTCTCGGCTTGGGGCAATAGCAGCTCTCAGGGACAGTCGGGGACACCGCAGAGCTCTGGCTACAGCAGCAGCTATGCCTACGCTCCCAGCTCCCTTGGGGGTGCCATGATTGATGGACAGTCCCCATTTGCACCTGCTGCCAACGAGCCTCTCAACAAGGCACCTGGTATGAACAGCCTTGACCAGGGCATGGCGGGGCTCAAGATCAACAGTGCTGCTCCTGGTGGTAATGGGGACATGACTCCTAAGGTGGTTGGCTCTGGCTTGCCTGGTGGGGGACCCCTTGGCCCTGTATCATCTGTAGGACCTCCCAGCATGCCTCCTGTCTCTATTGCCCCTGCCAAGCCCGCTTCCTGGGCCGATATTGCCAGCAAGCCAGCCAAGCCTCAACCCAAGCTGAAAACCAAGGGTGGTATGGCTGGTGCCAATTTGCCTCCTCCGCCCATTAAACACAACATGGACATTGGCACTTGGGACAACAAGGGTACCATGCCCAAAGCTGCCACCCCTCAGCAGGTGCCCCCTGTTCCCAGCAATGGGCAGCCGCCAAATCAGGCTTCCCCGCAGCCTGGAGCTACTGCTGCAGGGAACCCTCAAATGCCCCTCAGCAATGGACAGCTGGTAGCACCTGTTTCCCAGATGGGGCAGCATCAGCTTCCACCCACTGGGCAGCCAGGTATGGCCTCAATGCCCCAGCCTCCCCTTTCCCAGGGTCCTCCTCCACCAAGCCAACAGCAGCAACCATCTCAGCCCACTCGTTGGGTCCCTCCACGGAACCGGGCCAATGGTTTTGGGGATGCTGGTGGGAGTGGAACAGGCCAGTCGCCTCCCACCTCTTCTGGTGTGGGTGTTGTTCCTGGGATCCCCTCTGAGCCTCACCCGGTCTTAGAGAAGTTGCGTATGGTCAACAATTATAACCCCAAGGACTTTGACTGGAACCCCAAACAGGGCCGGGTGTTTATCATCAAGAGCTACTCCGAGGATGACATCCACCGCTCCATCAAGTATAACATCTGGTGCAGCACGGAGCATGGCAACAAGAGGCTTGACACAGCCTACCGTTCGTTGGGTGGCAAGGGGCCACTTTATCTTCTTTTCAGTGTCAATGGGAGCGGTCACTTCTGTGGCGTAGCAGAGATGCGCTCACCCGTGGACTACAACACGTCTGCTGGCGTGTGGTCACAGGACAAGTGGAAGGGTCGTTTCGATGTGCGCTGGATCTTTGTTAAGGACGTTCCCAACAGTCAGCTGAGGCACATTCGACTGGAGAACAACGAAAACAAGCCAGTGACCAACTCTCGGGACACACAGGAGGTACCACTGGATAAGGCCAGGCAGGTGCTAAAGATCATCGCTGGATATAAACACACCACTTCAATCTTCGATGACTTTTCTCACTACGAGAAGCGTCAGGAGGAGGAAGAGTGTGTGAAAAAGGTAACATAGTCACTGTTGAATAAAGGAGGAAAGAAATCAAAAAGATGCTCATTTTTACCTTGTGTTGTATATGAAGCCTGTCTGTTTGGCAGCAAGTGAGTGTGAACAACATTGCTTTGTATGTTAGAAAGTAAAAGAGAAACTAAGGGGTTTAAGGCTGAATTGAGACGTGAATCAGAATTGAAATTGATTGTAGACAGAAGGAATTTTGTGATTTATTTTCTTCTACATCTCTTTTGTTTTTATGTCAATCTCTTATGTGCAACCCTCCACATAGATATAACACACACAGATGAATAAACACCATAAATATTTTACTCGGTAATAATCACACAGCTGATTTTATGAAATGGGAAAATGGAGTGGATTACATGCCAACATATTCATATCAGACATTTCTGTTCCTATTAACACATGTCTAACATATATTCAGTTTAGCTACCTTGTGATAGTATGTGAAATGTTTTATTTGAATATCTTATCCAACACATATTTTTGCATTGGATAGAAACAGGTTGAATTAGGCAGCTTCAGCATAAGGAACAAAACTGGAGGAAATGTGTAGATGTTGTGGATCATAAAATGAATTATCAGTTATTTGAACATGGTGCTGTTAAATACTTGGATTTTTATGTCTTGCACAGCTGTATCTCACATTTGTTACACTCTTGCCTTACCGAGGATGCATGAGGTGAAAAGAATCCCGAGACAGAACAGAATTGTTTTTAATCCTTCCTGAACACAGCTGCTTATTAAATTCTAGTTATTCGTTATGTCTTGCTGTTAGATGGAGAAAGGCTTGTTTTACTCTGTGCATATAAGTAATTCTTAAGTGTGTTGTGATTTTCAGTTCGTTCATGCAAATAACTGTTTTTGTAGTTGGATTTTCATATTTACTTCACTGTATACTTGCAGTATGTTAAGAGGGAAAATTACTCGATAAAGTCACAACTTTACTGTTGAATATTAATAACAAAGTTACATGAGCCTGAGAAACCAGTAAGTTGGTCAGTCTTCTATTGAAATGCTTCGTCTGTATTCCAGAGCTTTTGAGAACAGCTTTATCTGTTTTCTCACATTTTACACTTAGATATTTGCACAGATACAATTTACTGAATTCAATTATACAGCCATTAACATTTTATTTATGATTTTTCTCATTTTACAGTTGTGAACTCCTGAAGTATTCATTTAAGAAATATTAATGCTGTAATGTAAAGAGCCCATCAACAGCGGTGTACCTGCCTTTTTTTTTTTATTAAGTGATGGATGCAGTAGATGACCCATCATTTCTGATTTTTATATTTATTTTTGTTACCCAGGACTCATTAACTCAAGTTATGCTATGCTGCAATTTAACTTTGGTTTTAGATTTGTGACAAGTTTGTTCCTAAATATGACGTGTCACATCTGCAGGCAGAGTTGTAATCTATATTTTATCCTACGACAAAGCTGCGTTAACATCAAGTCATGATCAGACTCTATGAAAATCCTCTGCTGTTCCAAAACCTGATTTTAAAGAATAGTGATTGAATGTGAAATAGTTCCAGTTACGCTCAGCTTTCACTCCTCTGTGTGACAGGTGGAGGTCCAAGGCAACGAGCCATATCCCAGCAACCCAAGCAACAGGACTCATTACAGGCTTCAGGTAACTTGCTTCATCCGTCACCATAAACAGAAGCAATGTGTCCTTTGTTATTTCAATACCTGGTAACTTGCTTTCAAATCTCGTCTGAAGTCTCAGCTGTTGAGATAATCAAATCAAGTTTCTATAAGTATCTGTTTTTGTATCATAGCTGTCCTTTTAGCATTTAGTTTCATAAAAGAATGAAGTAGAAGTTTTGGGAATCTGTGTCAACTACACTGAAAATACAAATATTTTGTATGTCCTCTTGTGTAATATTCTGTCTTTTCCTTTGTGTTCCAGGAGCGCCAAGGACGAGTCAAGTAACAGTCAGTGCTTTGGTCAAAGACTGCAATGCCCCCCCCCTAAAGCCCTGTCCACCCCATTACATCATCACATTCAGATCTCTTTAAGAAATTCTAATAGGGGTGAAGAATTAACCAAGGACAAAAAAACTAAATGAAGACTTTCTTGATTTCTTTTGACTTTGAAGACTTACTTCGAACTTGTAGTAAAAACAAAAGGAAACGATTATTCATAGGACTACAACATAGCATCCTTAGGTGAAATCTTTTTTGCCCTGCCCCATTCCACCACATATCCTTTCCCCCCCGTGTATGCTGCTTCTTCCCCTTTTTTTCCTTTTTTAAAATGAAAGGATCCTCTGTTTTTATGGTCCAAGAGCAAGTCTTTAAATCTCTCTCAAACACACAAATCCAATAGAAATTTGTAGTATTGGCTTATGATAGTGTCCCGTAGTCAGGAATGGGCAGTTTGTCTCATTGTTTTGTTTCTTTTTTTGTAAACCCCCGTCTTCTGAGGATGCTCAACTCTTCAACCAGGACCCAGCAGAGTTTTCTCCTCAGTGGATCTTCATCGTAGGCGGGCGCCAAACTACGCTCACTCCAGAGTCTGTTTCACACATGCTGGCCATGTTTTTGGTTTGAGAGGACTGCAGATGTAAAAGGACGGCCCTCTTGTTTTGTTTTTCGCATGTGTTGGGCAGAGTGTGTGGGGAAGGTAGGGTCTGGAGAGGAAGAGTAGGGAAAGGGGCTCGAGAGTGTGAAAGCAGAAGAAATGTTAAGTTGATGAGCCTTGCTCGCTGTATAATTTAAATCTATCTAAAAAAAAAGGGCCCTCTGTTAACATTGGACTTTATTTACCCTCTTTTTCTTTCTCTTGAACAAGTAAATTCATCGTCGCTATGGGCTGCTTTCTTGTTTGTTTTTTCTCCTTCCCCCGTTTTCTAAAGACAATGATGCGAGTGGCCTTGCCCCCGCTCTTTCTATTAATCAGTTCAAAAGTAATAAATGTGGTATATTCAGCAGAACTGGTGTGCATTCCCCTTGTTTGACTCTGTAAAGCAGTTATGTCTGTGCATCCTTTCCATCTGTTCTTTTCTCTTCCCTGATGGGTATATGAATGAATGTTTTTATTTCTCTAACCTTCATACTCTACCCGTCCGCTCCCCACCCATCTCTGACTTCCAATTTTCAACTTGTGAGGAATGTTTCCTTTCCTCTCTACTTTCCAAACCCACCTTGTCCTCCACACTCATCTTTGTGTCTCTGACTGCTCAGCCAACCATACATAACTATAATATCACAAGCAGCTTCCACCATTTTCAGAATGTCATTGTTGGTGAGTTAAAAAAAAAAGAAAAACACAAGGTCCTCTTTCAGAACTACTGGCTTTTATTTGTGGCATAATAAAGATGCTCCACAAAGTCATGTGTGGCCTTTCCTCATCATTAGCTGTGTTATTTTGTTTTTTCAGTCACGAGGGTGGCCTGTTCTATTTGAGTACTGTTGTATTATCTTCCTGCACAGCATGATGTACTAAAATAGCAGAAAATGTGTATCAAGCTCTATTCAGTTTATTATGGGGCAGTACACAACTGCCTTGTGGCCATCTTAAGCTTGTCTAAGGAACTGTGTAGGGTGTATTTACGGTATCATGTGGGATAAAGTACGTTTGAAATCAGCTCCACCACAGTATGCCTGAAAGGTAAACGATATGATCAAGCTGTTCAGCTGCAAATAGAAACGTGGATGCATCAGGGTTTGACATGGTGAATTTGGAGGTTTCCCGTTTACCTGTGTGTGCACGAATGACTGGGAGATGGGTTTTGTGCAATCCGCCATTTTCTGGGGTCGTCACTGCGGCTGTATGGTATTGGCCACAAGAGGGCGTCACAGCACCATTTACTGCAGTTAGTCCTCCATCTTTAACACAGATCAGGGTCCTCAGTTGGGCTTAATGGGTTTTGTAAATCGGGTCTAAGCATGATGAATTGAAGAAGGCTATGTTATATCTTCACTACCTTATATAAAATATCTCATGTGTATGCAGACTGATTGCATGTATTGTTTTATTTATAGTTTTATTTTTAAATGCAACAACAAATAGCAGTTGAAGTAGAAAAGCAGTGTCTACATTAAGTTAGATAATGATAAGCGCCATGTGGTTCATTATTCCTGAGATTTGATGACTTTATGCGCGTCATGGTGCAGACGGGTTCTAGGGGAGATGAGGAGTGTGTGTGTGAGTGTGAGAAAGAGAGAGAGAGAGATCTTCTGTGTGTGAGTGACGGCTGTCGAGAGGGGGGTTGACGGCACGTGTCGTGTCTGCGTTGTGGTTGCGTGGCCAACACGCCGCCTCGAGGGGGATCTCCTGTGACCCTTATCCGTGCGTCCCCGGGGACCTCTTTCAGACTCCTCCTGGGATGCAAATGAACGGCCATAAAGGAGGGAGAGACGCAAACAGACACCGAGACGATGGAGGAGGAGAAGCAGAAGAAATGGAAAGAGGACGAGGGGAAGAAGTGGTGAGCAGTCATGTCTCAGAGCGACGGAGGAGACGGAGAAACGAAATAAGTTGCATTACATTCGTCACTTGTAGAGACACTTTGCTCTGGGTGTGTTGGGGGACATTTTCCTCGTGCACAATCTCAACACTATTTACTAAATGGTAGCCTGCACGAGCCACTCAAATTATCTCTAATCAATCTACTTTCACAAAATGTAGAAAAATGGTTTAATTAAAACAACCTAAAATACTCAGTTCACTGGCTTTGTATTTTACTTGCATCTACTCATTTCAGGGATTATTTTTTTCTTTAATCTGGTTAAACCCAGTGACCCTGCATTTAAATATAGGGGATAATAATTAAAACGCTCCCTGTCTGTATTTAGTCTGATAGAAACTATTGTTTGGTCACAGAGCCACACATGAAAGCGTGTTGTGTTTATGGGTTCACATATTGAACTGCAAGGTCATGGTTCTGCTTTATTTTCCCTAATTACCATGAGGCATCCATCTCTTTCTTCCATTAGTGACGCTTCACCATGTCGCCAACCCCAACTCTATTTACATGAGTAAATTAGATTTCTTCAAGGGTTTTTTTTCTTCATTGAAAAGCCTGACAATAATGTTCAAAATAAAAAAATGCTGAAAGGAAAATATAGGACAATGGGTCTGGCCTGCTTAGAATATATATAAATGACAGAAATATTGACTATATTTAAACTAATCTTGCTCAAATTTGGCAAACAGGCCACAGAAATTCCTTTTAGATGTCAAGCTATTATTTTGTATAACATGCTTCAAACATTACATAGACAATAAAACTTCCCCTCTCAATGGCCTCTATAATCTTCCTCCCGTCATCACATTATCTGCCTCATTTTGCATAATAACTGAAAGCAGCATCACAAAATAAATATGCAGGCTATTTAGGAATAAGGATGTCACCATGATGAATGTTTCTATCATGTGAGGAGGGGGGGGTCTATATGTGGTCACCTGCTCTCTATCGCCAGGGGTCCTGCACTGTTGACATATTGAGTATTAACCTTCCCCTCCTCCTCTTTTTTTTGTAGGGTCCTGATTCTATTGAGAGTTTTTTGAAAATGCATAAAGTGTGGACGGGCGTCGGGGCCAGTTGATGACCTCTGTCTCAACATATGTGGCACACTTGCCCTCTGCACACGCTCATTGTGTGGAGCTGACAGGCCATAATTAAATGTCACCCACCGGTATATAGTATATAAAAATATCAAGCATACATATATATAGCCCTACTATAGATGCAAGGCGTAAAGGCTGTTTGCATTTGTGTGTTTTTTTTATAATCTCAAGCTTTCAACATTAAGTTTGAAAATAGATTAATGATGCATTTTTTCCATTCTTCATATAGTTCAGAATATTAAGTTGTATTTTTACTAAAGCCAGAAAAAATGAGAATAAGATAGATACAATAGTCAGTAAAATATGTGGCAGAGAGTCAAAACTCCACCGATGATTTTTTTTTATGCACATCGTCCGCCTCCATCATCTGAGATGTAGGTCAACTCGCATCTCTATCGCCTGTAGCAATTTACAGCTGGAATCATTTGATGCAGCTCTGTGATTATACGAGTGGCAATGAAGCTCATTATTTAAATGACTTGATGTGCTTTGGGCCTTTTTTCCCTTTAAGAAGAAATACTAGATAGTACAATAGAAATGTGGTCCATGAAATGACTTCTTTATTGAGACTTTTTACATAACAAAAACAAACAAAGGTGTGATATTGAAACTCACAAAAAGAAATATTTTTGAGTAAGGTGTAAAGCCGTTTTCTCAGGATGGTTGCGGAAATATGTTCAGCTGAAATCAAATAAATCAGCATGCATGAGAGCGATTCGGGAGGTTGTTGCTTTTTATAACAGGCCTGCTTGTGAATTTTTATCTCCTGTGCAGCACATCATGCACTTATTGAATTCTCACCCTGTTTTTCCGTCTTTCCTCTCAGATAAGTCAAGTGCACGCTCATGCGAAAACACACAGACCTTTGAAGTGGCCCTTCATCACCACATGGCAAATACCCCCGGTGTGATCCCTCTGTCCATTTGGCCACAGGACAGACACTGGTAGGCTCCCTTCAGCTCTGTCCGCTCGGACATTATGGAAACCAGTATATTAGCTCGACTGGTGACCAGCGATTATTAACTAGCTTTTGTTTCTTGTATGTCTTTATTCAAAATATCCATATCTGACTTGCATTGACTGACCTGTACATGGTCACCGCTCTGTAACTTCTTTACCTGATGCCTCTTCTCCTGCTTCCCTCTGACTGTTCATGTCATTGCTTGTTAATCTCTTAGGATTGCAATGCAGATGCATCTCTGTAGTTATCACTGCCTCTCTCTTGTTCCCTGTATATAGCCGCTTTACGCTGCATCTCTCAGGTCAGCGAAGACTGTGGCTTCTCTCTTGGCATTCACCGCGTGCCTTAATTGTATTGAAATTAAATCAAGGTCCACTGTGAACACAAAGAGCTCAAACCCAAAGTTCCGAAAACGTTCTCGGCTCCTGTTCTCTGTCACTTTACCCTGCTTTTATAGCAACAGTTTCCCTCCTTAGTATTCATAAAGACAATTTTCAACATGCACTCTTATTTGATGAAGGTATACATTCTATTTTTTTGTTTTTTACCAGTCCATCCCTGTTTGACTTTCCCATTCTCTGTCCTCACCTGTGATCTCTCCTCCCAGTGGACCCAGAGGCGGCTATGCGGTCCTTTCACGTGTCAAACATGTACATCGCATGCTAATCCCACACCAACATGCATTCAACCTTTTGGAATGAAAACTGGTTTTCGATACAGACAATACATACAAAATTACATATATGATACAAACCAATGACATTGTGATTCCTCCAATCGTGTAAATGCATGCATGCGTTTGTTGATGTGCAAAAAAAAGAAGAAAGGCTTTCCAGCAACAAAATATGAACAAAGAAAAAAAAATACATACATCTAGTGATTATCAAAGCAGCATTCTCAGCATTAAGGCATTCTCTGTATACAGCACATCATTAAAAAAGCAACACAGACAGAGGAGAGCACAGAGGAACAGGGAGTGAGATAGAGCAGCGAGCAACGCTACCTTTGTTGCACCATAAAGAGGGCAGCAGCCCAGCTACCTGATTGCTGCCATTCCTGCAGACCATCTTCCCCTCAGAGCAAAACAAAGGATGACGACTAGATATTTATGAGTACACACGGCGACGCGCCGCTGCGCCTCGTCCTCTCCATAGCACTGCCTCTGCTGCTCCTGGTTAAGAGCTTGGTGTTCGGTTTAACCAGACCAAGCAGTTCTTCATTACAGTTGGTAAAGCTGTGCCGTTACCCCCCACCCTCACCCTCCCTCCCTCCCTCCCTCCCTCCTACTCTCCATCTCTTCTCTACAGTTCTCTCTCTCTCTCTGTGTGTGTGTGTGTGTGTGTGTGTGTGTGTATGTGTGTGTGTGTGTGTGTGTGTATGTGTGTGCACTCTGCGCATGTAACTACAGCCATGTACAACCTGGAAAACAGAATCTATATCAATCAAGTCTCTCTCCTCGGACCAATAAGTACAAATTAATAATTTAACAAAGGGTAAATACTGATGCATAAGAAGAATCTGAAACAGAACAGGATGACATTTCTTTGCCATTATCTAAGACTCTCAGATCCAGAAAAACTGCTACATTTATTATCCCTGTCTTTTTTAACTCTTGACCAATGCACTCAACATTTGCCTGTATAGAATACTACTGTAGCACAAGTAGAATAAGGTTTGCTCATATCAAATACATCCTTCCTCTCTAAAGACGAGGCAAAAAAGCAGAGGGAGCTGCAGAGTATTTCCTCCTTCAGGTCCTTGGTCCTGGTTTTGTTATTGTTGTTGCTGTAGTTGTAGCTGTGACTGCGCAGCTCCATCCT